ATAAGGCTTTTAAAATGCATTAAAATCAAAGATCAGTTGACAGTACTATAGCTTAGTATTGTACAGACCTATCTCATTTATTTAGAGAACAGAATGCGGTAGGGTTCAATCATGGCAAATGAAAAAAAAATCATAACCAGCTCAAGGGAAAAAAAAGTGGCTTTAAGAAAAATAATAGTTCAGATATGTACCAGAAATTTGTATCACAAGATAGAAACAAACTAAAAAAGTTCTCTAGAAGAAAACTTAAAAGAAGCCACAAACAAAAACCAAGAGTTTGTGTGAGTCCATATTTTTGTCATCAGTAAATGCAGTTAGCAAGAGATCAAGCCCAGTAACAGTTCATCTAAAGGAAATTATTGAGCACTCTTGTAAACATGGCAAACTATTTAACAGCTCTACAAATCTGTTTAACAGCTCCCACAGTCTAACCAAAAGTATAAACAGTGTAAGTAATGTTTTCAAGTCTTTGACGGAGCTTAATTTAAACAAAATGTCTTCAGAACCTCAAACCACCGTCCTAATTTAGGGAACACAGTTATTCATTGTTTTTTTACCAGAACAGGAAGTCAAATGATAAAGTATTTCAAGGTAATTATTAAATGTCCATTGAAAAAATATAAACCTTTGAAGAAAGTCAAGAAAACTTATCAGTCAACTAATCTTAAAATTAAGCATATACTTCTTCCTTTGAGAAAAAATACTTTTTATTCAGACTTCAAAATCATAACAGCGTATAAAACTTTCAGGTGTCCCTGAATAGCAACAAGCCTCCCTGCAACAAGCAGCTTTAAAATAAAAGAGGGGAAAAACAAAATAGAGCAGATTTTTAAAGTTTACATTTGCAATTCATACAAATTTCTGACAAGTCTTTGATGTGCTTTTGCAATACCTGTAAAAATGGAACCATTCTACAGAGGGAGCAGGCCCTATGGGGCTGTATCAAGTTACTTCTCTGTTGTAGAATGTTTCTTTCAAACATTAAGGCAACACTCTCACCTTTAACTGCCAGTCAAAGTCCTGCAGCTGGGCAGAAGAGATTGCATGTACATTTTCTACTAGGGCATTCCTGATTTCTTCCTTTCTACCCTTTAGACATTTTGTGATTGCTTCTTGATAGTCTGAATTTAACTCAATTATCTGCTGAGAAGCCTACAAAAATAAAAATAAAAACTGTTATTATCTGCACTATGAACCACAGCAGGAACATGTATCACCTGCAATAATGAAAATATCTAAGCTGATAGCTGCCTTTTGTGGCTGCTCTCTGTCTTTGACAGTTAAGTCAGTGTTTACCGCAGCAAAATACAGAGAAAAAAAACCCACTTAAATTAAAATACACCAGAGAAGAGAGGCTTTATCAGCCTTCTGACATGCCACCCTAAAATCCAAAGAACATCACACCCCCAAACAACTCAGTTTTAGGTCTGCAAGTTTCTCAGCATCAGGGCAGAGGCTAAATACATCAGCTCAGATGAAACAAATACTGATATAAGGAGGTCCCCAAGGCTACACAGGTGTCTTTCTTTGACTCGGCTGCTAGCAGGTGGTCAAAATACAAGCAATATGTAAGAGATGAGTGTTCATATTGCTAGTATTTTAGCAATATTTTGCAAAGTTCATACCTACAGGAATGTCCTGAATTACAGTTCCCTGTACCACATGGTCCTCCATTCACAGTTAGATTTTTTTTACAAAATTTATTTACATACAGTCAGTATTTAACACCACTTCAATGCAGTACTAATGAATAAAGAAAACCAAACAAGAAAGTGATCTGATTTTATTGCTAATGAGCAGTATTATATAAATAGATTTAATCTGGTGATGCTCAAAATACCGTATTTAAGTGATTAAATCAGTATTTTAACAACTATCCTGAGATATTAGAAAAATATTCAAAAATCTGCATCTATTTCACTTTTTGTTGTAGAAGTCTTGTCAGTGTATCTCTGAATGCTGCTTACCTCCTACCTATTTAGGCTGAATACACTACCGTTCAAATCCTACACTATAAAAACATTTTAGGATTAAACAAACTACAAAACTAACCACTCCAGTGATCATGATCTCTTGAAGCCAAGGCTAATCAGTGATGAGCCCTTACCTCTTCATCAGATATATTTTTGCCAACTGCAGTTTTGAAATACGTCATAGTTTCTTCTAAAACCTCCATCCACTCTGTCAAGCTCCAAACGTTGCCATAATCCTGGTATCGAGGATACGCACGGCCACAGATGCCATCAGCTATCTTATGAAGGAACTGAAACGATGTGATACATAATGTATAATTCTCTCACGGTTAAACTATACCTGATATGAGACTGACCAAGCAATTGAGTTATCAACCTCCCTCCACTGGGGACTGCCTGGATGCTTCCAGACTGCAGCCCAGGCACCACACAAGAAAGCCCCGAACAGGCACTCCCTGACTAGGAACTGTCCTCCCTTCTCCCCTTAAAGGCAGTCCTGAGGTGTGGCCACAGAAATCACAACGTGGCTCGGATTCACCCTGGACTTACATGCGGACTGAACTGCTGTGTGCACAGCTACAGCCCTGCTCAGATGCCGCGTCACAGGGCCCCCGTGCACCAGGATTGCCAGGCTGCACAGCACAACCCGAGCCGCTGGTTTCCAAGCCCGCGGGCCTCTCTAGTCTCCCAAAGCACTGTCCTCTGGCACTGCGGCCTGGCGGGAGAGGCAGCCGCGCTCCGCGGCCCCGCGCCGCCGGCGGGCCCTGCCTCCCTCACAGGTGCCGGAGGGCGGCACCCCGGCC